AAATATTGTTTCTGCACACTTGTCTCTTCTCCTAGGAGTAAAATTACACATATATTGGATTATATGTCTCTGCCGCGTGAGTCTCTTATACTGGCATCTGTTCATTCTTTTTCTGTTTGGTAGTTTTCTATAGACTTTTTGAATTTACAAATTAGTTTTACAAATGTCTGTTTGCTTCTACTACCATTGAATCAAATTTCAGATAATGTATTTTTTATTCTGAAATATTCGTTTCTTTTTTAATAGATTGTAGTTTTCTGTTGAGATTTTCCATATTTTATCTACTTCCCTTTATCTTTTGCTCTGAATATATTAATAATCATTTTCATAATATATGAAAAAATGCTCCACATCACTAATCATTCAAGAAGTGCAAATCAAAACCACAATGAGATACCATCTCATGGTAATCAGAGTGGCTACTTATAAAAAGTAAAAAAATAACAGATGTTGGTGAGGTTGCAGAAGAAAGGGAAGGCTTGTATAGTGTTGGTGGGAACATAACTTAGTTCAACCACTGGGGAAAACTGTGGAGATTCCTTAAAGAGCTTAAAACAGAACTGCCATTCAACTCAACGGCCCCATTACTGGGTATATACCCAAAACAAAATAAATCATTCTACTGAAAAAAACACATATAATCAATTTTCATCATATTATTGCTATTCACAATAGCAAAGACATGAAATTAAAAAAAAAAAATTTACTTTAAGCCTGACAGGTCTTCGGTTTTTCAACAATTAAATATTGTAAGAGCTCAGTTCAGGCTTTCAGATGGTTGAATTCAGCTCTTTAAACTCTTTGCCCTCACAGCTGTAGAATATGGTAAATGTTGTAAGGAGGACACGAGTCAAGTATTTGTTGCAGTTACACTTTCTCAAGGGAAATTCATTTCATTAGTACTCTTGCAAATAATTTTACTGTTTTTCTCACTCAGCCTGTTTCTTGGGGTTGGCCCTTCTGACTTTTGACTGAGTGTAGTGAGTCTTTAATTCCTTACCTTTAAAAGTTCTCTTCCTCAAGCATTAGTTATTAAGCCCCCTGCCTTAAGCAGGTACAACATTTGGCAAATGTTTTAAGGAGGAGAGCTGATGTGTGTTTGTCCCAGGCCTCTCCATCTAGTGGAACTTGATCTCTTATAGTGCCATGAGTATGAATGAGATTTCAGTCTATTACTCTGACTGAGGCACAGCCTCCCGTACCACCCCAACACTCAGGAAATGTCTTGTGGGGGAAATCAGATGGATATCCTGCTAGATCCCATCATGTCACACCATCATGACAGCCTTCATGTTCTTCAAAAGCTCAGTGATTTCTCTTTGTCAGTAGATTATGTCTACCTACACCAAACCCTTGCCTAGAATCACCAAATTCCTCTCTCTAGCATGTTAATTGGTAATATTTCCTCATTGTTTCTATAGCTGTAAGACTTTTTTTAAAAAATATGATTTTTATAATTCATTCATTTTGTTTGTTTGTTAAAGTAGGAGTGATGGTATATGGCTCCCTACCTCATCCTACTTGGAAATGGAAGACCCATTTAGATCACTCTTAACTTCTCTCTATAATATATTAATAGTATTCTATATAAAGTTCTTGCATCTTTTATTATACTTTATTAGGTATTTGATATTTTTGGTACTATTTTTATGACATACTTTTTAGATTTTAATTTTATAACTTCTGTGATAAAGAAAAATCTAATGGACTTAAAAATTTGATCTTGTATCTGGCAAATTTTCTAAAAAGTTACATCCTAGTAAGTTACATGTAGATTCTTTTGGATTTTTCTATGTACACAATTATATCAAATATGAAAAGTAGCTATTCTTTCTTTCTTATCCATACCTCTTCTTTTTTCCTGCCTTACTGCTAATACCATTTAACACCTTACTAAAATATTGAATAGAAGTGGTAAGAGTTGGCATCCTTATTTTGTTCCTGATCTCACAGGCAATATTTTCAACATTCTACTAGTAAACACAATGATTGCTTTAGGGTTTTTTGTAGTTTCTCTTTGCTGTGAGTTTTTGTCATGCATAATTACTGAGTTTTATTAAATGCTGTCTCTGCCTGTATTGATATGGTCATGTGTGTTTCTCCTTTATTCTGTTGAGGTAGGTGGTTAATCACTTTTTTTTTTTTTTTAAATGTTAACTCATCTTGTATTCCTGGGGTAAACTATCATGGTAGAGATTCAACTACACACAAATGTATGTGTGTGTAAAATGAGAGCAAGCACACAGCATACACACACGTGCTACATTTTGTTGTCTAACATTTTGTTTGGGATTTTTGTATTTATGTTCATAAGGGGAATTGACATTTTTGTTTCTTTTCTCATAACTGTCCTTTTCAATTAGTGAATGGTAGGCATATAGTATGGACTCAAAAGTTCTACTTTTGTGATATATTCTAGATATTACTCTAATACAATACAACATTATTCTCTTCTTGAAACTTTATTTTCAAGTGATTTTTTGAAAGTTTTATTCCTTTTTTTTTCCTTATAGAGACAAGGTCTTGCTCTGTTACCCAGGCTCTAGAGTGCAGTGGTGCAGTCATAGCTCACTGCTGCCTCAAACTTTTGGTCTCAAGCAATCCTTCTGTCTCAGTCTCCTCAGTTGCTGGGACTATAGGCGCATGCCACTGTGCCTATTTATGTTTTGTAGAGATGGTCTTGCCACATTGCCCAGGGTGGTCACTTAACTCCTGGGCTCAAGTGATCCTCCTGCCTCAGCCTCCCAAAGTACTGGGATCATAGGTATGAATCACTATGCCAGGCCTTATTTTCAAGTAATTTTAGAGTTACAGAAAAGATACACATATAATAGAGTTCCTTATACCTCTCTCCTAGCTTCTCCTGTTGTTAACAGCTTTTTTTTTCATTTTATTTTTATTTTTATTTTTATTTTTTTGGAGACAGAGTTTCGCTCTTGTCGCCCAAGTTGGAGTACAATGGCGCGATCTCGGCTCACTGAAACCCCTGCCCCCTGGGTTCAGGCAATTCTCCTGCCTCAGCCTCCCAAGTAGCTGGGATTACAGGCATGCACCACCACGCCTGTCTAATTTTTGTATTATTAGTAGAGACGGAGTTTCACCATGTTGGCCAGGCTTGACCTCAGGTGATCCACCCACCTCGGCCTCCCAAAATACTGGGATTACAGGCATGAGCTACTGCGCCCGACCTATTTTTTTATTTTTAAACTTTTAGGTTCAGGGGATACATGTTCCAGTTTGTTCTATAGATAAACTCGTGTCGTGGGGGTTTGTTTTACGGGTTATGTCACCACCCAGGTACTAAGCCTAGTACCCAGTAGTGTTTTTTTTTTCTGTTTCTCTCCCCCGTCCCTCCACCCTCAAGTAGGCCCCAGTGTCTATTGTTCCCCTCTCTGTATCCATGACTTCTCATCATTTAGCTCCCACTTATAAATGTGAGGATGCAGTATTTGATTTTCTGTTCCTGCATTAGTTTGCTAAGGATAATGACCTGCAGCTCCATCCATATTCTGCAGAAGACATGATCTTGTTCTTTTATATGGCTGCATAGTATTCCATGGTGTAAATGTACCACATTTTCTTTATCCAGTTTGTCATTTATGGGGCATTTAAGTTGATTCATGTCTTTGTTATTGTGAATAGTACTATAATGAACATTTGTGTGCATGCGTCTTTATGGTAGAATGATTTATATTTCTTAGGGTATGTACACAGCAATGGATTGCTGAGTCAAATGGTAGTTTTGTCTTTAGCTCTCTGAGGAATTGCCACACTGCTTTCTACAGTGGTTGAACTAATTTACACTCCCACAAACAGTGTACAGCCACTCCCTTTTCTCTGCAACCTTGACAGCATCTGTTATATTTTGACTTTTTTATAACAGCCATTCTGATTGGTGTGAAATGGTATCTCATTGTGGTTTTGATTTGCATTTATGTAATCATTGATATTAAGCTTTTTTCTTATGCGTGGTGGCCACATATATATCTTTTAAAAAATGTCTGTTCATATCCTTTGCCCACTAGGTTGCTTATAAATGCTGGATACTAAACCTTTATCAGATGCATAGTTTGCAAATATTTTCTTCCATTCTGTAGGTTGTCTGTTTACTCTGTTGATAATTTTTCTTTTGCTGTGCAGAAGCTCTTACATTTAATGAGATCCCATTTGTCAGCTTTTGCTTTCGTTGCAATTGCTTTTGTGTCTTCATTGTGAAATTGCCCATTCCTGTGTCTGGAATGGCATTGCCTAGGTTGCATATGTGGTATCCACATCATCACTGCTGATGTTAACTGATCACTTGGATAAGGCAGTGCTTGCTAGGTGTCTCCACCATGGAAATAAGTTACTATTTTTCCCTTCTTATACTCTATGTTTTGAAATCCAGTCACTCAGTTCAGTGCATACACAAAGGAGGAGGGGAAGATTAAGCTTAACCTTCTTTGGTGGGAGGTATCCACATCTGTTATCTGGACTTCTTCTTAAGCAAAATTTGCTTCTTCTTTCCAATTATTTATGTATTCAGTTATTTACTTGCTCCACTCTGTTTTAATATCAATTCCCTATGATCTCAAGATATAACTACAACCTTGAAAACTCCTGGTTCTCCCAGAACTCCTTGATGGAATGCTCTGTTTCTTGTTTATCTTTGTACGCTGTGTGTATTTAGCACAGTCCCCTAATTTATAGTGGACATCTAGTAATTTAAAAAAATGTATTTTCAATTCAGCTGAAAAATACCATTTCCTCAACTAACTTATATAATTTAACATTCTAAATTAAAAGTAGGTTTTAAGATAAAAGTAAATGTGTGATAACATTGTATCAAACAAAATAAAGGGTACTGCAGAAATTTTACTTTAATAACATTTGACATTGATGTGTCCACAAAATATTCCTATAGCTACTTAAATATTCCCTGAAACCACTTTTGGAAAGAGATTTCAGTTTCTAATAGGCCAAGGAGATAACCTGCTGTATTCTTTCTCTTTTTTGGTTAGATTACCCAAGAAGATAAAGACTCCACTTTCTGCTTTCTCTGAAAAACTGTCATCTGATGCAGTCACTCAGATAACAACAGAAAGTCCAGAAAAGACCTTATTTTCATCTGAGATTTTTATTAATGCTGAAGATCGTGGACATGAAATTACAGAGCCTGGTAACCAGAAACTACGCAAAGCTCCTGTCAAGTTTGCCTCATCATCTTCAGTCCAGCAGGTTACTTTTTCTCGTGGCACAGATGGTAAGAGAATGTGATTTCATTTTAGATTGTTAGACCAGCTCTTTTGTGTAATTATGTTAGAAATTTGTGGTTGTGCCTTTCTAGTCAGAAAACCTAATTTTAATTTAAGAATTAGGGTCCATATGATTATATCTGTCTTTTATTTGCATAGCTGTCAACAGAATGTGATTTACTATATTTTTATCTTAATTTCTAGCAGAGTTAACATGTAGAACTCATGCCGTTTGTGGTTAAAACTTATTTTTGTCTCATATTTGCAATAAAAATGCAAGGAATTCATAACAACTTGAAAGTAATTGAGGTCTGCTTTTAAAAGGGCAGATAAATTATCTTGTATTATAGTAATGTTATTACTATATAGTGTGTATATAGAGTATATATATACTAAATACTATAACAAATAGATGCATAAGCATATGATAGTGCAAACACAATAGCAGTTTATCTCTTGCTTATAAAGCAATCACCAGAGACCCAGGTTGACTTCTTGCTCTGTTGTCTTTAAAATACGTAACCCAAGGTTATGTTGGATTTACCTTCATGGTCAGCTGGAAGGAACAGAAAGCATGGAGGAGCATATATAGGAGATGTTTACAGGCCAGGTCTGGAAATAACCCAAATCACTTTCAGGAATGTAGTTTAGCTGTGTTTTCCAAAATGAAGAAGAAATGGATTTTGGTGAATAGGTAGCAGTCTTTACCATAAGGTGAACATTTAGAGTGTTTTATATGCTATAGTTTCAGTGATATTTTGATAGTACTTTTACCGTATAACATTTAGAATTAGAGCAAATTGTATATTACTTTCTTTTTTGGGTAAGTAGCAAGAAAATTAACAATTAAGTTTCCATTCTTCCCCAAATGAAGATGGAAACTTTACTAATTTTTAAAATATTTACTATTTTGGACAAATCTACTCAAAGTACATTTTAAGTTTCTCTGCTTACACAAAAAACTTGTCCATCTACACATATAGATAGAATATACCTAAATGTAAAGAAAAATGTTTGGTTCAGCATTTAAATTGCATTGAATTTAAGTAAGTGCATTTATATACTAAGATGGTTATAATTCTTGAACATTTTTCTTGTGAAATTAAAGCATACCAAATATATATATATATGTATAGTTTAATAAATCATCACAAAGAACACCTTTATGTGTTGGTTACCTGTTGTTACAGTGATACAGTACAACAAACAACCTAAAAAATCTCCATGGTTTGTAACAGCAGACATTTGTTTTTCTTACTCACAGGCTTATGGGTCAATTGGACTTTGGCTGGGCTGGCTGTAAGCTGCAGAAATGGTTTGGGTCTGTTCCGGATACTTCTTTCTGAGACTCAGGCTAATGGGTCAATAACTATCCTAGAGTGTGGTGTTCTCATGGTAGTGGCAGAAACACAAGAGAAGAAACAGCTATAAAAGCAGCATGCAGTAGCTCACACCTGTAATCCCAGCACTTTGGGAGGCTGAGGCGGGCAGATCACAAGGTCAGGAGATCAAGACCATCTTGGCTAACACGATGAAACCTCATCTGTACTAAAAATACACACACACACACACAAAATAGCCGGGCATTTTGGCGGGCGCCTGTAGTCCCAGCTACTTGGGAGGCTGAGGCAGGAGAATGGCATGAACCCGGGAGGTGGAGCTTGCAGTGAGTTGAGATTGCGCCACTGCACTCCAGCCTAGGCGATAGAGAGAGACTCCGTCTCCAAAAAAAAAAAGCATGTTTTAAACCTATGCTGTCCTCAAGTGGATCAATTTATAGAGTCTATGATTTATGGTTCATATAAACTTTTTATCAAAGAATTAATATTATTTAGTTTACTAATTATTATTTTCAACACTGTGGGTCAAAAGTAAAATTTTATGAGGTTTTTTTTTTTTTTGGTACAAAACATTTTAAGGTACAAAGAATTGCATGTTAATTACATGACTGCTTACGCATTACTCTGAATTAACAAGTTCCTCTACCCCTTTCTAGTGCTTTTTTCCTTTCCCGGAAGCAGCCATTATTTGCTATGTATTCACTTCTTCCCCTAGACAGGCAGTCCAGTGTAACCTTAAGACTACTACATCCAAACAAAGTTTTTGAGGACTTCAAAAAACTTCAAAAAGTTCTTTATTTGTCTCAGATCCATCTCCATGTGATAGTCATTTTCTGATAACTGCTTCTGGGTCCATTGTAATTTTGTCCAATCGTTGCTGTTAATTTTCTCCAACCTGTGAGCTGCGTGGCAGATTCAGCCATTGCTGTCAAGCTTCATATACACCGATGGAGAAAGAAAATTAATAAATCAGATTCTAACAATAACTACAGCAATGACCAAATAGAATTGGAAGCTACAGCTTTTTTTTTTTTCTTTTTTCTTTTTGCCTGGTAGAGTGGTACAAATATTCCTAAGTTGTCTCAGACTAAGGTTGAGGTCATTTTTTTTTTTTTTTTTTTTTTTGAGACGGAGTCTCGCTCCATCTCCAGGCTGGAGTGCAGTGGCGTGATCTTGGCTCACTACAACCTGCACCTCCCAGGTTCAAGGATTCTCCTGCCTCAGCCTCCCAAGTAGCTGGGACTATAAGTGTACACCACCATGCCCAGCTAATTTTTGTATTTTTAGTAGAGATGGAGTTTCACCATGCTGGCCAGGATGATCTCCATCTCTTGACCTCGTGATCTGCCCACCTCGGCCTCCCAAAGTGCTGGGATTACAGGCATGAGCCACTGCGCCTGGCCAAGGTCATTTTTTATTAATTTCTTGACTGGACTTTCTTTAGAGGTCACTTTGCCATGCCCAGTGATAGAAATTAATACCTCTAGATGTTAATCATACTCCTTTTTAAAAGTAACCTTATTTCTTCTGGATAATTCAGGTCAATCATAGATTTAGTCAGCACTCTCTATGCTGCTCTGTGTTTTGCTTTAGTGATATAAAAAATGTTAAGTAGCTAGGTGGCTCCTGTCCCTAGTAGAATTGTCCCTTTCTTATTTCTAAGGTCTTCCATTTAACAACACTTATAGTCACAAAGGTTGAAAGCAAAAACTTCTTAAAAAGCTTCTTTGTTCCCAAATGCATGCGTTCCATCTGGTACTCGGTGTAGGCAAGTACCGTCTATGGTTCAGAGCATATCCCATATGCCGTAAGAAAGCATTGTAGACTCAGAAAGTGGTGTTCCCCAGCTTATGCCATAACACTTTTCAGTAAATAGCTCACTCACTTTATTTATTTATATTTTAGGTTTAGCATAATTGTGGTCCATACAGCATGGATAAGGACAGGAAATCCCTTTAGGCATCAATGTTTTGTCTCATTTCCTTCGCTTGGAAGTGAATTTCTTCCTTAGAAGCAGGCTACTAACAATATGGAATTCATTGCCAAAATAAGTTATCAGAATGATAGAGTTGCCAAAGATGGTGACACAGTTCTAAGTAATATAAAGATTATTGTTTCTGGCCAGGCGTGGTGGCTCACACCTGTAATCCCAGCACTTTGGGAGGCCAGGGAGGGTAGATCACCTGAGGTCAGGAGTTCGAGACCAGCCTAGCTAACATGGTGAAACCTCATCTCTACTGAAAATACAAAAATTAGCCGGGCATGGTGGCGCATGCCTGTAATCCCAGCTACTCGGGAGGCTGAGGCAGGATAGTTGCTTGAACCTGGGAGGCGGAGGTTGCCGTAAGCAGAGATCGTGCCAATGCACTCCAGCCTGGGCGACAGAGGGAGACTTCCTCTCCCCCCGCCAAAAAAGAGTATTGTTTCCAGAGAAGGAGAGCTAATTCCACTCCAGGACAATCAGAATCAGTCTAGAGGGATTTGGGTTTTATTAACTACAGACAAGTGACTAGGAGTCCATCTAGAAATGGTGACAGGATATAAGAGAAAACCGTGGTCTCTAAAAATAAGGATAAATGGAAGGAACTGAAGGTTTTTAGCAGTGAGAAATGGTAGCTGTATTCAAAATTCATAATCATATGAGCAATACAACCCTATGAAATGCTTAGAAATAACCTAAACAAAAATTTTAAATGACCTAATGCAGGAAACATTAATCCTTTTGTAGAGATAGAAAATAATAATTGACTAAATTAAAAGAAAGGTATGGTTCTAGGATGGAAGGGTGAATATTGTAAAGTTATGTATTCCCACATACATTTATACTCTAAAGTAATTCTGCACAAAGTTCTAATGGAACTGTTCTTTTGAACTGCTTGATTTATCTTTACAAATTTATTTTTATTTTTAATTCTTCTGGGTACGTAGTAGACATAGATATTTATGAGGTACATGAGCTATTTTGATATAGGCATATAATGTATAATAATCCCATCAAGGTAAATGGGATATCCATCACCTCAAGCATTTATCCATTCTTTGTGTTAACAAACAGTCCAGTTACATTATTTTTGTTATTTTATTTTATTTTATTTTATTTTATTTTATTTTATTTTGAGATGGAGTCTTCCTTTGTTGCCCAGGCTGGAGTACAGTGGGATGATCTCAGCTCACTGCAACCTCTGCCTCCTTGGTTCAAGCAATTCTCCTGCCTCAGACTCCTGAGTAGCTGGGATTACAGGTGCCCGCCACCATGCCCGGCTAAATTTTGTATTTTTAGTAGAGACGGGATTTCACCATGTTGGCCAGGCTGGTCTCGAACTCCTGACCTCAAGTGATCTGCCTGCCTTGGCCTCCCAAAGTGCTGGATTATAGATATGAGCCACCACGCCTAGCTGTCTTTTGGTTATTTTAAAATGTACAATGAATTATTGACTGTAGACCCTGTTGTGCTATCAAATACTATGTCTTACTGATTATCTAACTATATTTTTATACCCATTAACAATCCTCACTTCCCCCACACCACTCACTACCCTTCCCAGCCTCTGGTAGCCATTTTTCTGTCTATGTTTGTCCATGAATTCAGTTGTTTTAATTTTTAGATCCCACAAATAAGTGAGAACATGTGAAGTTTCCGTTTCTGTGCCTGGCTTATTTCACTTTATATATAATGACCTCCAGTTTCATCCATGTTGCTGCAAATGACAGGATCTCATTATTTTTTATGACTGAATAGTATTTCATTGTGTATATGTACTGCCTTTGTGTGTATATACTACATTGTGTATATGTAATAGGTTAATTTATCCATTAATCTATTGGTGGGCACTTAGGTTGCTTCTAAATTTTGGCTATTGTGGACAGTGCTGCAATAAACATGGGGTGCAGATTTATCTCTTTGACATACTGATTTACTTACTTTGGTTATATACCTAGCAGTGGGATTGCTGGATCATATGTTAGCTCTAATTGTAGTTTTTTGAGGAATCTCCAAACTAACCGTTCTCTATAGTGGTTGTACTAATTTACATTCCCAGCAATAGTGTACGAGAATTCCCTTTTCTCCACATTCTTGCCAACATTTGTTGTATATCTTTTGAATAAAACCATTTTAACTGGGGTGAGATGGTATCTCATTGTAGTTTTGCTTTGCAGTTCTCTGGTGATCACTGATGTTGAGCACCTTTTCATATGCCTGTTTGACGTTTATATGTCTTGTTTTGAGAAATGTTTGTTCAGATCTTTTGCTCATTGTTAAATTGGATTATTAGATTTTTTTCCTATAGAGTTGTTTCAGTTCTTTATACATTATAGCTATTAATCCCTTGTCAGATGGATAGTTTGCAAGTATTTCCTCCTGTTCTGTGGTTTGTCTCTTCACTGTTGTTTCCTTTGCTATGTGGAAGCTTTTTAACTTGATGTGATCCCATTTGTCTGTTTTTGCTTTGGTAACCTCTGCATGTGGGATATAACTCAATAAATCTTTGCTAATCTTTAATGTCCTAGAGAGTTTTCCCAATGTTTTCTTCTAGTAGTTTCATAGCTTGAGGTCTTAGATTTAAGTCTTTAATCCATTTTGATTTGATTTTGTATATTATGAAATATAGAGGTTTAGCTTTATTCTTTTTGTTAAATTTATCTTATAGGATTCTGAGTTCTTTCTCTGTGTTATCTTGAATTTCTTTGAGTTTCCTCAAAGCAGATTTTTTTTTTTTTTTTTTTTTTTTTTGAGATGGACTCTTGCTCTGTTGCCAAGGATGGAGTATAGTGGTGCATTCTCGGCTCACTGCAGCCTCTGCCCCCTGGGTTCAAGCAGTTCTCCTGCCTCACGCTCCCGAGGAGCTGGGACTACAGGGGTGCACCACCACACCCGGCTAATTTTTGTATTTTTAGTAGAGATAGGATTTCACCATGTTGTCCAGGCTGGTCTCGAACTCCTGACCTCAGGTGATCTGCCTGCCTCGGCCTCCCAAAGTGTTGGAATTACAGGCATGAGCCACTGCACCCAGCCAAAACAGATATTTTGAATTCTTTGTCTGAAAGGTTCCACATCTCTGTTTTTCCAGGATTGGTTTTTAGTGTCATATTTAGTTCATTTGGTGAGGTCATGTTTTCGTAGATGGTCGAGAAGCTTGTGGATGTTTGTTGGTGTCTGAGCATTGAAGAATTAGGTATTTATTGTAGTCTTCACAGTCTGACTTTGTTTATACCCATCCTTCTCGGGAATGATTTCAAGGAATTCAAAGGGAGTTGGGTGTTATGGTCTGAGTTTTTGGTCACTGTAGCCATATCTCCATTAGGGGGCACCTCAAGCCTAGTAACACTGTGGCTCTTGCAGACTTGTAGAGGTACCACTTTGGAGGTTGTATTAGTCCATTTTCAAACTGCTATAAGTATGCTACCTAAGACTGGTTAATTTGTAAAGAAAGGGGGTTTAATTTACTCAGTTCTGCATGGCTGGGGAGGCCTCAGAAAACGTAACAATCACGGCAGAAGGTGAAGGGAGGGCAAGGCACATCTTACATGGTGGCAGGAGAGAGAGGAAGCTCGGGGATAACTGCCACGTTAAAACCATCAAGATCTCATGAGTGCTCCCTCACTATCACAAGAACAGCATGAGAGAAACTGCTCCCATGATCCAATGACATCCCACCAGGTCCCTCCCTCAACATGTGGGGATTACAATTTGAGATGAGATTTGACTAGGGACACAGAGCCAAACCACATTATTCCACTCCGGCCCCTCCCAAATCTCATGTCCTTTTCACATTTAAAAACCAATCATGCCTTCCCAATAGTCCCCCAGAGTCAACTCATTCCAGCATTAACCCGAAAGTCCAAGTCCAAAGTCTCATCTTAGACAAGGCAGGTAGGTCCCTTCTGCCTGTGAACCTGTAAAATAAAAAACAAGTTAGTTCCAAAATACAGTGGGGGTACAGGCATTGGATAAATGTTCCCATTCCAAATGGGAGAAGTTGGCTAAAACAAAGGGGTTACAGGCCCCATGCAAGTTTGAAACCTGGCTGGGCAGTCATTAAATCTTAAAGCTCCAAAATTTCCTTCGACTCCATGTCATACATCCAGGGCATGCTGATGCAAGGAGTTGGCTCCCGTGGCCTTGGGCAGCTCCACCCCTGAGGTTTTGCAGGGTACAGCTCCCACAGCTACTGTCATGAGCTGGTGTTTAGTGCCTGCAGCTTTTCTAGGTACACAGTGCAAGCTGTTGGTGGATTCTGAGGTCTAGAGGATGATGGCCCTCTTCTCACAGCTCCACTAGGCTGTACTCAAGTAGGGACTGTTAATGGGGCTCCAACCCATGTTACCAGTCTGCATTGCCCTAGTAGAGGTTCTCCGTGAGGCCTCTGCCCCTGCAGCAGACTTCTTCCTGGACATCCAGGCATTCATACATCCTCTGAAATCTAGGTGGAGGCTCCCAAAGCTCAACTCTTGTCTTCTGTGCACCTGTAGGCCCAACACCACATGAAACTGCCAAAGCTTGGGGCTTGCACCCTCTAAAGCAATGTCCTGAACTGTTGTCCTTTTAGCCACAGATGGAGCTGGAGCAGCTGGGACACAGGGCACCAAGTCCCAAGGCTGCACAGAGCAGCTGGGCCCTGGGCCTGGCCCACAATACCATTTTTCCCTCCTAGGCCTCCCGGCCTGGGATGGAAGGGACTCCCATTAGGATCTCTGACATGCCCTAGAGACATTTTCCCCATTGTCTTGGCTACTAACATTTGGCTCCTCGTTACTTATGCAAATTTCTGCAGCCAGCTTGAATTCCTTGAATGGGTTTTTCTTTTCTAGTGCATAGTCAGGCTGCAAATTTTCCAAACTTTTATACTCTGCTTCCCTTTTAAACATAAGTTCCAATTTCAAACCCTCTCTTTGTGAAAGTACGTAACTGAATGCTTTCAGAATAAGCCAGGTCACCTCTTGAATGCTTTGCTGTTTAGAAATTTCTCCCGCCAGATACCGTAAATCATCTCTTTCAAGTTCAGAGTTCCATAGATCTCCAGGATAGGGGCAAAATGCTGCCAGTCTCTTTGCTAATGCATAGCAAAAGTGACCTTTATGCCATTTCCCAACAAATTTCTCATCTCCATCTGAGACGACCTCAACCTGGACTTCATTGTCCATGTCACTGTCAGCATTTTGGTCAAAGTCATTCAGTAAGCCTCTAGGATGTTCCAGACTTTCCCACATCTTCCTGTCTTCCTCTTAAGCCCTCCAAACTGTTCCAATCTCTGCCTGTTACCCGGTTCCCAAGTTGCCTCCACATATTCAGGTTATCTTCATAGCAGTGCCCCACTTCTGGCACCAGTTCTTTGTATTCATTTTCACACTGCTTTAAAGATACTACCTGAGACTGGGTAATTTACAAGTAAAAGAGGTTTAATTGACTCACAGTTCCACATGGCTGGGGAGGCCTCAGGAAACTTAACAGTCATGGCGGAAGGTGAAGGGGGAGCAAGACACATCTTACATGGCAGCAGGAGAAAAAACTCAGGGGAAACTGCCACTTTTAAACCATCAACATCTTATGAGAACTCCCTCACTATCATGAGAACAAGGTAGGGGAACCACACCCATAATCTAATCACCTCCCACCAGGTCTCTGCCTCCACATATGGGGATTACAATTTGAGATGAGATTTGGTTGGATACTCAGAGCCAAACCATATCAGAAGTTTTTAATAAGATCCAGAATAATTCTCTGGATTACCAGGTAGAGACTCTTGTTCTCTTCCTTTACTTTCTCCCAAAGGAATGGAGTCTCTCTCTCTGTGCTGAGCTGCTTGGAGCTGGTGTGACACAACCACCCCTGTGGCCACCACCAGTGGGACTGTTCTAGGTCAGACCTGAAGCCAGCAAACACTGGGTCACGCCTGAGGTCTACAGGAACCACTTCCTGGATACTGCCTATGTTTGTTCAAGGCCTTGGGGCTCTGCAATCAGCAGGTGGCAAAGCCAGGCAGTCTTGTGTGCTTTCCTTCAGGGTGGCGATTTCCCCCTGGCCCTAGGCAGGTCCAGAATTGCTGTCTGGGAGCCATGACCTGAAGTCAGAAACCTTAGTGCTTTATTCTGCTGTGGCTGAACTGACATTTTTCCCACAAACAGAGAAGTCACTCCCCGTGGCCACCACTGCCCCAGGCTTGTGGTGAGTACTGGCTGCCTACCACTGATATTCATTCAAGGCCCAAGGGCTCTTTTGTCAGCTTGGGTGAATGCTTCTAGGCCTAGGACTCTCCCCTCAGGGCTATGGGCTCCCTTCTGGCCCAGGGCAGGTCCAGAAATGACATCCACAAGCCAACACCTGGAATCAGGAACTCCTGGAGCCTACTTTGTACTCTACTCCTCTGTGGCTGAGCTGGCACCTAAACTGCAAAACAAAGTCCTATTTAATCTTCCCTCTCCTTTTCTCAAGCAAAGGGAGTCTCTCCTCATAGCCACCATTGCTGGGAAATTGCTGGGTCATACCTGAGGCCAGCACATCTCTGAGTTTTACCCAGGTGATACTGCCTGGCTACCACTGCTGACTATTCAGGACCCAGGTATTCTTCAGTCAGCAGGTGATGAATCCTACCAGGACTGGGTCCTTTAAGGCAGCAGGTTCCTTTCTGGCCCGGGGTGTGTCTAGAAATGTTGTCCAGGAGCTAGATCATGGAATGGAGGCCTCAGGACTCTGCCTGGCATCTCTATCATACTGTGGCTGAGCTGGTATCCAGGTTGCAAGACAAAGGCCTGTTTAATCTTCCATCTTCCCAAGTGAAAGGAAGGAGCCTCTCCTGGAGCTGCAAGCTGTGCTGTCTGGGTTTGGGTATGGAGTGGCACAAGTGTTTCCCTTGGCCATTTCGGCTGGTGTCTTACTAGGTTGCATACCCCCAAGTCAGCTGGTTCTGGTTCCAGCACACCACCAAGACTTTCCTGGGAATTGCGTTTCTTATTACTTTAGGCTATGGTATAACTATTTTATCACAGAAACCCTAAATTACAGGTAAGTAGTCTAGAGCTGATAGCTGAGTTGCATGTCTGGTGGCTCTGTCATGCTTCCATCTCTGGAAGTGTGACTTCCATTTCTGGGTCTAGAGTAACTGCTACCGCTATCATGATCTGCAGTATCTAGGAAGTGGGGGGCTTTAAAGGGATAACTTTACGGGAATGCCTGGAAGTTGCACACATTCTCGCACTCTTCCCACGGACTGATCAAAGTTACCCACACGTTCACACATGGCTGTGAGGGAGATTGGAAGTATATATAGATGTATAGATGTAAGGAGGGAGGGAAGTTGGACACGAGGGCATATTTGACAGTTTCTACCAATCATGAAAGAAAAACTATTATATAGAAAAAAAAAGTCCATAATAGTAAGATAAGGGCATATTTTTAAAATGAGATTCCTTTTACCCCTATTAGCAATTAATCATTTCTTAATGACTCTACATGTGCTGTTGGAGGAAGAGTAAATTGTCACAGACATATTAATAAGCAATTTAGCAGTCAGTACTTTTTTAAAAACTTCATGAAGGGTGTAATTTTTCACTTTGTAAAAAGAATTTACCTCAGATGGGTGATGGGGAAGAATAAGTATAAACAGGAAAATCTTTATTCACAGAATTCTTTATAATTGAACATTTTAACACAACCTGCATTTTCAACATTAGGCTAAGAGTTGACTATATTTAATCTGTGGTATAACCATACAAATGTGAAGAATAGGAAGTAAAATGAATATTTTTATTTTAAATAGAAAATAGAAAAGCTGAATTTCAAATTATGCATACTATATGCAGACACTTTGTAAACAAACAACAGGAAAAGATGGGTAAGATATACATTAAAATGTTAATAATAATTATCCTTGAGTGGTAGCACCTTGTAATTTTTACTTTTATGTATTTTCTTAATATTGAAAATTCATACTCTTGCAGTGGAAACTATGTTTTGAAGCCCTGTCACACAGATGAGAATTAGACTTACTGTCTGTGACTCTGGAAGCAAAATAAGACCAGTATAAGGGCTTGATTATGACCAGGTTACGGTTCAATGTAAAATAAGATGTTTTTTAGTTAGAGTCATTTATATATGGAATGGATTGCTAAAAAGTCATCTCAATGAAATCTATCCCTACCATCCTACTTAAACTGTTTCCCCTGCATTTAAACCTCAATTTCTCCTGTATTCCTAATTACCCTCAGCATTTCTATATTTTCTCTGTATCACTTATAATTTATTAAAATGCTGGATAATTTACTCATTTAGTATGTTAATTATTTACTGTATATTTTCCTCCTCTAGAATTCTCATTCTTCTTGAAGGCAGAGATACATTTCTCTTTGTTCACTCATAAATTCCAAAAGTCATGAACACTGCCTGAAACATAGAAGGCATTCCATATTTGTTCAGTGAATTAATAAATGTTTTTCGTATTAATTGTTCTGATTTTTACCTCCTTAGGTCAGCCTTTATTATTGCCATATAAGCCTTCTGGTAGTACGAAGATGTATTATGTTCCACAATTAAGACAAATTCCTCCATCTCCGGATTCCAAATCAGATACCACCGTTGAAAGCTCCCATTCAGGTATTATGCAGAAATTATTCAAAGTTTTATTATTTGAAATTTTGTGTATTGGCTAGTTGATTCTGTAGTGACAAAAATCCAGTGCTCTTTAATTTTTCAGTGAAATATGGAACTTTTCATACATTGATCTCTGGTTCAGATAGATGAGTTATTTGATCAGATATATTATATACACATAGGCATTTATAAATATTTGATGAAGGAAATTGTATGGATCATTATTTGGGTTAGTGGGCTCTATCTAGGGCAAAGTTGCTAAGCTTTCTTGGTTCACAGCACCCTTAGTGTTTCATTGATTTATTTTCTCCACTTTATGTATAATAAGCAATTATTTTTTTCAAATAGCAACTAAGGAATTAGGACATAAATACTAATTGTTTTGATCTAACAACTAATTTAACAAATTTGTTATTTATTTTTGGTTTTGGTTTTTGAAAAAAGAATTTGTTCATAAATAACCATGATTACTTACTAATGATATGTGTGTAGCTGTTGGACACTATGCAGCTTCTCAAACCATGAGATGAGGTTGGACCCTCTCTTATTTTCTGCTTTTTATTACAGCAGCTGCCAAAAATCCAGCTTTTGCCAAGGCACAACAGCATTGAAAGGAACATAACACTATCTGATGTTGACACTTTGACCTTGAGCTAGTAGTTTATCACTGTCCTTTCCCTAGAATTTTAAAATATCCTACAGCATCTCTGTGAATCCACTACAGAGGAGCTGCAGAGTTAGGAAATGAATAGTACACTGTGGAGGCACTAGGTAAATATTTCTTATAGAAGATTTTAAGTTAAGGGTGCAGAGTTGGTGTGGTGTAGAGTTTTGATTGGTGGGACAGTGTTTTGAGTTGTCCACAGGAGATGACTTGGTTCACTTTAGACAAATTGTTTTTTCCATGATTATCTATAAATATCAATATGTGTGTAGAAATTACAAAGAAAGGAGAAGTTGTTCCTGGTCTTAGGCAGACATTTTTGTTACTTTTATCTGAAAGAGAACCAAACTAGCTTTTGATAGTAACTGCATTAAAGCCTCTGATATAACCTCACCTAATTTCTCACAATGATAGCATTGAAAAAAAAAAAAGAACCACAAAAATACTCACCAAAAGTTAAGATTAGTTGTTAAGTTTATAGCCATAAATGAAATGTTTACTCCTTGCAAGGCTATGGTTTTAAAAACACTGTTAACGGCTACCAGAAAGAAAACAAGTTCACTTAATTAATTGTAGGTAGGAAAGTCTCTATCCCACTTACTTACAGTTCAGAAGACAGAATGTCTGTAAACAGTAGAAACCTGGTCAGATGTGCCAGTACTTTTTTTTTTTTTTTTTTTTTGAGACGGAGTCTCGCTGTGTCGCCCAGTTCTGAGGCCTTCTGTGTCCTGCTATCCATAGACATCACTAACACTTCCATCTGGTTGGAGAGATTAACTTAAAGATTGAATAGTGTAGGTGATGGGAGAAGAAAATGACTCAGGACTGGCACACCGTATCCTAAGACATACATTTTCTGTAATAAAGTACTGTATGCATCAGTACGACAAAAAGAGATCTAGTTGCCATATACACTTGAGATTGTTTTTTCATGTTCTTCATCTATTCTGAGAGTGAGGAAGTTGGAAATAGAAAACAATCCTTTCTTAGACCAGTAGACCTACACTGGATGAAAGCCTAGGAATTGTTCTAATTCCTGGCCATTTTCTTTTTTTTTTTTTTTTTTTTTTTTTTTTTTGAGACGGAGTCTCACGCTGTTGCCCAGGCTGGAGTGCAGTGGCCCGATCTCGGCTCACTGCAAGCTCCGCCTCCTGGGTTCACGCCATTCTCCTGCCTCAGCCTCCTGAGTAGCTAGGACTACAGACGCCCGCCACCGCGCCCGGCTAATTTTTTGTATTTTTAGTAGAGACGGGGTTTCACTGTGGTCTCGATCTCCTGACCTTGTGATCCGCCCGCCTCGGCCTCCCAAAGTGCTGGGATTACAGGCTTGAGCCACTGCGCCCGGCCTCCTGGCCATTTTCTATGAATATATTGTGCATCTATAGATATGAGAGGAGCCAATTAGAGTTTGGGGCCAGGAGCAAGACATACATCATTGTTAGAAAATATTTGGGCCAAATAATTGTTCTTCAGTTGAGAATAAGTAAATAATAGAACCCATAAGATCCAAACAAGAAGGACGACAAAAAACAAGGGCAAAGGAAATAGCCATCCAAAGAAAGAGATAAATGTCTGCAAATAAACCAGTCGTAATGGCAACCCAGGGAGTATTTATTCAAGAAAAATGGCCAAATCCCACTAAGAACAGTAAGCATTGGCATTTTAACTTGCCCTAGTCCCGTTCCCAGTACCTCAGCTCAGTGATAGACTTAAGAAATATAGCTTTCTTTTCCAACACCAGAGGATGCAAAATGGAGCTGGGCTCTTTTAAAACTTCTTTCCCAAAGAATTGTTAAAATTTGATGTGTCTAGTGGTTCCATGGAAGATTCCTCTCAAAAGGCTTACCTTTACTTGACCTGACTGGGAGCCATCCAGTGCTAAAGGCCTCTGGTGAAAGGGAGGGAAAGATGTTTATCAAAAACATTTACAGACAAGTATTTTAATATCATAGTGGCTGAGGTGAGGACTAACAGTTGAGGTAAACAGTAAACTAACTGAAAAGCTTAAAAGGAAAACTTGAGGATAAGATGTTGATAGATTCTTTGAAAGGCTCTGACATATTCCTAAGACTCTGCGAGACACCATACATGCATAGGCCTGTGTATGCTTGGGAAAGACCCAAGGCACTAGGTCTTATCTCTGGCTGACCTTGAGGGTCTGTACAAGAAGAAAAGGGAAGGCTAAGGTAGAGTTGGCAGCTGCCTAGGTTAGTGTTGAAGGTACATCCCAACATATGCATGGAGCCATTTGATAAAGGCTGGGAGATTTATTGGTTCTAGGCATTTAAGGAAATTTCTGTTCAGGCATTAGCTGATCACTAAACTAATTGAGTAGTAACTTCAGTGGCCATATATAACAGAGAATATAGACTTTACAGAATTAGTTTAGAGAAGTTATTAAAACAACATAAAGCAACAACACCAAACCTTGGAATGGAAATAGAATCTGATTTCCAGAGTTGCTGCATTATATTATTTAAATGTCCAGGCCAGGTGCGGTGGATCATGCCTGTAATGCCAGCACTTTGGGAGGCCAAGATGGGAGGATTGCCTGAACCCAGGAGTTTGAGATCAGCCTGGGCAATAAATCAAGACCCTGTCTCTACAAAAAATTAAAAATTAGCCAGGCATGATGGCATATGCTTGTAGTCTCAGCTACTTGGAAGGCTGAGGCATGAGTATCACTTGAACCCTGGAGTTTAAGGCTGCAATGAACTATGATTGCACTACTGCACTCCATTTTGGCCAACAGAGTGAGACCATGTCTCAAAGAACAAAAACAAAAACAAAACACAAAGGCAACAAAAGAAAAATATATATGTGAGACTTTATCAAAATTCAGAACTTTTATATACAAAATCCAGTCAACAGAATGAAAAGGTGACTCACAGGAGAAAATATTTGCAAATCATTTATCTGATGAGGGATTAATATCTAAAATATGTAAAGAACTCTTACAACTCAACAACAATAACCCAAACAATCTGATTGATAAATGGGCACAGAATTTGATGGACATTTCTTCAAGGAAGATGTGCGAATAGCCAATAAGCACATGAAAATCTTCTCTACATCATTAATCATGAGGGAAATGCCAATCAAAACTGTAGTAAGATACCCCTTCACACCCATTGGAATCACTGTTATTTTAAAAAACAAGCAAATAAAGGGAAATTATCAGTGTTGTCAGGGATGTGGAGAAATTGGAACCACTGCTTATTGCTGGTGGAATGTAAAATGGTATAGCCATTATACAAAACATTGTGGCTGTTCCTCAAAAAATTAAACATAGAATTATAGTATGATCCAGTAATTCCACTTTTAAATATATACCCCAACAAAGTGAAAGTAGGATCTTGAAGAGCTATTTGTACACCCATGTTCATAACAGCATTATTCACAATGGCCAAGAGGTGGAAACAACCCAAATGTCTATTGATCTATGAATGGATAACAAAATGTGACATATATGTGTAATGGAGTATTATTCAGCCTTAAAGAGGAATGAAATTCTGATACATGCTACAACATGGATGAACTCTGAAGACATTAGGCCAGTTGAAATAAGCCAGTCTGCTTATATGAGGTACCTAGAAAAGTCAGCTTCATAGAGACACAAAGTGAACTGTGTTTACCAGGGGCTGGGGGTGGGGGAGTGGGAAGTTACTATTTAATGGGTACAGAGTTTAAGTCTGGGAAGATGAATAAGTTCTGGAGGTAGATGATGGTGATGGTTGCATAACAGTGTGAATGTACTTAATGCCACTGAACTGTACGCTTAAAAATGGTTATTTTTTTGTGGGTTTTTTGTTTGTTTGTTTTTTGTTTTTTGTTTTTTTTGAGACAGAGTCTTGCTTTGTCACCCAGGCTGGAGTATAGTGGCACAGTCTCAGCTCACTGCAGCCTCCACCTCCCAGATTCAAACAGTTCTCCTGCCTTAGCCTCCTGAGTAGCTGGGATTATAGGCACCCGCCACTACACCCAGCTAATTTTTGTATTTTTAGCAGAGACAGGGTTTCACCATGTTGGCCAGGCTGGTCTCGAACTCCTGACCTCAAGTGATCTTCCTGTCTCAGCCTCCCAAAGTGCTGGGACTACAGGCATGAGCCACTGCATCCGGTCATGGTTACATTTTATGTATATTTTACCACAGTTAAAAAAACTTAAGAAGTTACCAAAAAAACTTAATTGAGTTTTAAAAGTAGATATCTATCTTCCAAATCAGTGTTGAGTACATGAAATTAGCAAAGTAACAAAACAAGAAACATAGGGAATTTTAAGATAGCATAAACAATTAAATCAGATGAGTGGAATTCAGTGAGATGTCTTTAGCTATGATAAATAATTTTAGCATACATTGATATTGTCTCATACATGTATTTAACTTAAGCAAGTTCCAATAAATATACTTAACAAAAAAGAAGAGAATTTTAAAAGTACAGGTGTTTTGTGCATGCACTCTACCCTTTATGAACGTATGACTAAGGAAGAATATGTAATGAAAGATGGAAAACTTCATTCTCAAAGTTCATTGTAGTCCTCGTTTGCCTTTTATAGTGTAAGCATCTTACCTTGCTTGTCTGGGTATGATTCTAGAGTTTGAAGAAATGTCTTTTTGGTACAATGTCAGGTACTTCATCAGGTGCTCAGATTCAGGTGCAGCGATAAGTTGCAAGCCTGGAGGCAAAAATGACTCTGGTGGGTTTCTTGAGCAGGCACGATGTCAGTTTCAACATATGCCTTCCTAAGGGTGATTTTGACCCTCTATGGCAAGGTTTTCACCTCATATGCTGACTTTAAACCCTAAATTCCATTTAAAATATATCTCTACTTTAGTGAAAAAATAGTAATGAGCCTGTATATGGTATGATCCTTGTATATGTTCACTTAGTAGGATATATAACCCAGATTTAGTTGGGTTTTCTTTTATTGTTTCCTTCATACTTTCCTGAATTTTCTACAACGATCAGGTTGATTTTTTTTTTTAAATGATAGAAAGCTGTCAGTTCATGTTCATTTGTTTATTCAAACAATAGGTATTAAAGATGTTACTGTGTTCCAGACAGATATACTGTGGTAGGTGTTACAATTTCAATATTGCTCAAAATAAACTATAATGGAGTTTATGTTCACATTGGATGATAGATATTCGACCATAAATAAGTACATAATTACAAGTGATAAATGCTAAGAAAATAAAGAAGAGTTCCAAGATAAACAAGTAGACCCAGTTTTGTTTTACGAACTTTTGAAGGTCTTTTCCAGGAAGAAACTTTTAAGCTGAACTCTAGAGGATGAGGATGAATTAGGTAGGCAAAGAGTGGAGTGTGAGAATGTTCTGGCGAGAGGGAACAAGATTAGGAAAGCCCATGAAGCAGAAAAGAGCTTGATGCATGTGACAAATGGAAAGAAGGCAGCATGGGTTGAAATTTCAATAAATTTGAAGATCTAATTGGTTTTTGTAGTGATTCATGAATCAGGCAACATCTCATTCTATAATATAGAAAAAGGTGCACTGGGCATGGGAGAGCAGTTGGTTCTGATAACGTAGCCAGACCAGGAACAAGGAAACATAATACAGACAGTTCCCAGTTTACAGTGGTTCCACTTAACTATTTTTTGACTTTATGATGGTATGGAAGTGATACACATTTAGTAGAAACCATACTTCAGTATGGCATTTAATAAACTATATGAACTATTTGACACTATATTATAAAATAGGCTTTGTGTTAGATGATTTTGCCTACATGTAAGCTATTGTAAGTGTTCTGAGTATGTTTAAAGTAGGCTGGGCTAAGCTATGATAGGTTAGGGGCATTAAATACATTTTTGACTAACAATATTTTCAACCTATGATGGACTTACCAGGACGTAACTCCATTGTAAGTGGTGGATCATCGGTAATACCAAAAAAAGCATATTGATTAACATCAGGTTACTTTCCTGGTAAAGATTAAAGCAGAGATAAGTTCCTTGTTACGCCAGCTCAGGGTGACTGGCCCCTTTTTCAGTTAGTTGCTGTGGATCTCTCATTTTTAGAAAACTCCGGTCCATTGTGGAACTTTCCTTCTTCCTTAAAGTTTCAGTTGGATTGTATGGCATTTAGTACAAGTGACTACATTTCGGTTTGGTCTGTTGGGGCCTAGTGCAGGAGCTCAGTCTAAAACAATGGACTCCCATAAATTGTATTTAACAGGGTAGAGCATAGTGATGGGTAGATATGGTTGAAGACAGGTAGGTTCAAGATCATGCAGGATCTTATCAACGGTATTAAAGTGTTTGGATTTTATTCTAGTACTACCGCAATTATGGTTTGATTTACACTTGTAAAGTTTATTCTTGCCACTATATGGAGAAATGGTTTATAGATGGGAAGGCAGAGAGCCATGGTGGGGTGGGTTAGAGTGCAAGTAGAGACACCAGTTAGTTAGAAGGCTGTTGCTGTAGACAGTACCAGAGATGGTAGCATCAGTATCACAGTGTTATCTATAGATAGGGAGAAATGGACAGTCAACTTCCTTTTAGAAATAGTTTCTCCTAGATTTGGTAATAAGAGTATGGAGAGTGAGGGAGAAGAGCGTGAAAAAAATGTCTGGAGTGAGCAACTAGGTGAATAGAGGTGCCATTTACTGAGGTGGAGATTGAGGAAAAAGCAGATTTGGGGAAGATGATCAAAATGTCTGCTTTGGACATGTTAAAAATGAGATTCCTGTTATACATCCACATAGAGATGTTGGGTCTACAATCGAATGTAGGCAGAGTTAATTTACACATGTTAAGGTAATAGTGCCACCTGTAAGAGGCACTGTTCCCATTATAAATATATACCTTTTTGAAAGCACACAGATGGGCATGAATATTCCAGATCTTTAGTTAGAGTTCTGGAGCAGCAATGTTAACTCTTGTGCTGCCCCAAACATAAATCTATACTCACACATACTGTAGCTATGCACAGGTACAGGAAAATAAGTATATTTACATTCACTGACACGCACACATGTGTAGCTGCACTCTCTCAGCTGCCTCTCACCTCCTCTGAGGTTGATTCTCTTGCTCATTCACCCACTGCTCTCAGGGACATAATTGTTCCCCACCTAACTCTGAACTTGAGGGATCATCTCTCTTGGAAAACAAGGGGTGGTGGTGCAGACTGTGCGTGTGCATGCTGCTGCTGGTGTGTACTCCCTGGGAGAATTTGTGAAGAGAATGACCACCATTTACAGTAGTTTGTGTTGTACTACAATATATAGTAACTTAAACATTTTTATTTGAGGAAGAGACATTTTTCTAATTTCCATAAAAGTGCTGTAAGAGCTAGCTGTGTCGCTGAATGCTGGAGTCGGATGCTCAGAAGAAAGGTCTTGGCCAATGGTACATTATTTGTTGGTCATCAGCATATACCCTGGTGGTCAATAAGTTTACCTAGGAAGGGAAGAGAGGCCAGTTCTGACTCCTTGAGGAACTCTAGCATTGAGAGATTTGGTAGAGGAAAAGATGAAAAATAAGTTTCCGGAGAGGTAAAAGGCAGATAAGAGAAAGTGATTTTACAGAAGTTGAGAGGAGCCCAATATAATCTATTTGGCCCAGAAGGTGGTGTTTTCCTTGCAATCTGTCCTGCAAAACTCTTCATGGCTTATTGTGCACTGTACTAATGATACAGGTACTTACCCAGCTCTTATTGCCATACACATACTAGGAGCTCAGGAAATACAGGATCTTAGAAAGAAAAATCATCTCACAGAAAATTAGTATAAGCCTTTATATGTCCAGAAATGTTTTTTTGCCTGTTAGATGTGGCATGGTTTATAGATTAATTTATTATATCAAGGAATGTAGGAATATTGAAATATATTTTAAAAGAATTAAATACTTTCAAGTCTTTTACTTATCTGTCATTTTCCTTTCAGTTTTGTCTTTTGTATTGTCAGATTAATCTTCTGGAAACATAGCTAAATATATTATTATTTCATTTAAAAATCTTCCATTATGTTGCATTTCATATACAATAACGTTTATACTCTTCAGCTTGGGATCCCATGCACTGCTGAATTTTGTCCCAAACAACTATTTTTAAATACCTTCTACCACTCTCCTTAATGTATTCTGCAGTCCAGCCTGACCATAAAGTGTCCGCCATTCTTAAATGCTTCTTGTCTTTGCTTATGCTATAACTTCTGCCTAAAATGCCTTTCTTCCTTCCTTTCTATATCAAAAACTACTTTTTTCCAAGGTACAATCCATTTTCTCCTTCCGCCAAAACCATCGTGAACTGAAAATATTCTCTCTCCTGAACTGATTCTCCATTTTATATCTTCTCTTATATAATTTGCATCTCTGCCTTGTATTATTAGAATTTATATTACATAGCTTACAACTTCAGTTTGACTGACATTTCCTTCTGATTATCCTACCCATTGTAGTGTTTTTTTTGTTTTTTTGTTCTTTTGTTCATTTGTTTCTTGTTTTTTGTTTGTTTGGTTTTTTTTTTTTTTTTGAGACCAGGTCTCACTCTGTCACCCAAGCTGCAGTACAGTGGCACGATCTCTGCTCACTGCAATCTCAGCCTCCCAGGTTCAAGCGATTCTTCTGCCTCAGCCTCCCAAGTAGCTGGGGTCACACGCACCTGCCACCACACCTGGCTAATTTTTGTATTTTTAGTAGAGATGGGGTTTCACCATCTTGGCCAGGCTGGTCTTGAACTCCACCCGCCTCTGCCTTCCAAAGTGCTGGGATTACAGGCATGAGCCATCGTGCCTGGCCTGTAGTGCTTTTTTCATAGAACTGGTCTGAGAGGCAAATTTTTAAAAAGTCTTTCTCAATTTCATGTCACTGTTTGTGTTTTGTATTACTTTCCCATTTTTCTTTAGGATCCAATGATGCGGTTGCTCCAGACTTCCCAGCTCAGGTGCTAGGCACAAGAGATGATGATCTCTCAGCCACTGTTAACATTAAACATAAAGAAGGAATCTACAGTAAGAGGGTAGTGACTAAGGCATCCTTGCCAGTGGGAGAAAAACCCTTGCGGAATGAAAATGCAGGTAACTGGATTGGCTTTGTAAACTTTGTGGCATTTTCTCCCCTTTTCATCCTAAGTGAGATTACTGTCTAATCTTTATCCTTTTTTTCTGTTTCGTTATACAAGCTTTTCTCCTTGCCATTATATTGAGCATATATAAGAAGGTAAAATTTCATAAAATCCTTTATTATGCTTCAGAGATTTTTGAAAACTGTAAACTTCATTTTCACAATGGGGAATAAAATAAGATACAGCTTTTGAAATGAAATAATACCCAGTCAAGTATGTTTTAGATACTAAGATCCATAGAAAATCTTGATTAAATTGCCACATTAGTGTATCTCTGTCAGATATTACAAAGTAATGTCTTATAGGCTGGATTCTGTTGCTGACATGATTTTTTTTTTTTAATTTTTTTTAAAGACAGGGTCTCACTCTGTCACCCAGACTGGAGTGCAGTGATGCAATTATAGCTCACTGCAGCATTGAACTCCTGGGCTCCAGTGATCCTCCCACCTTAGCCTTCCAAGTAGCTGGGGCCAGAGGCACACGCCACTATGCCTGACTAATAATTTTTTTGTAGTGATGAGGTTTTTTTTGTAGTGATGAGGGTCTCGCTATGTTGCCTGGGCTGGTCTTGAACTCCTGGCCTCAAGCTGTCTACCTGCCTCAGCCTCTCAAAGTGCTGAGATTATAGGCACGAACCACTGCATCCAGCCCCCATGTTGTTTTAAAATTTTTTTAAATTTTCTGCCAACATTTAAAACTAAGATTTTTGATTTCCCTTGAAAAATCAGAAAATCTGGCTGCCCTTTGGCTTGCATTCATTCATGGTGGTAATCAGCTGCAGCTGAGCCATGGCTGTCCCCCTGCAGGCAGGACATCCATTCTCTTGTTTGCTTCCATCCCCACAGCTCTAAGACTCAGTCTGCTTCATTCTTCCACCTTATCTGTCTGGTCACTGTGGGTATTTGAGTTTCAATCTTTTTTTTTTTTTTTTTTTTGAAATGGAGTTTCAATCTTGTTGCCCAGGGTAGAGTGTGATGGTGCGATGTCTGCTCACTGCAACCCCCACCTCCCAGGTTCAAGTGATTCTCCTGCCTCAGCCTCCAGAGTAGCTGGGATTACAGGCGCCCGCCTCCACACCCAGCTAATTTTTTGTATTTTTAGCAGAGGTGGGGTTTCACCATGTTGGCCAGGCTGGTCTTGAACTCCTGACCTCAGATGATCTGCCTGCCTCAGCCTCCCAAAGTGCTGGGATTACACGCTTGAGCCGCCGTGCCTGGCCCCCACTGTTTTATAAAAGCTTTTTTTCTTCTGCACCCCTGACGTTATACTTTTGTAGCTGAGAGATGATAATATTTATTAAATGAAAACTCCAGTAGCCACTGAAAATTCTGTATGTATAATTGCCTGTGTTTGTTATATTTATACTTTTTTATTCCTGTGTATAACTATTAGCCAAATAGGTGCTACTGATCCCAGGGCAGTTTTTAAACGTAGGGTGGCTCTATGTTCTAGTTTTGGTATAGTGTTAATGACTTCATGTGATAGCATCAATGCCTTTGTGAGAAAAATAAATGAGGTCTGCTTATTAAAGCACACATTTTTTTAGATAATTTTGTTCTACTTCAAAACACAGTGAAGTCTTTTTATAAATGCTTTTTGAAATAAGACAAGAGAAGCATATCTACCAGCTAACATTGAGACTGCCAAGTAAATAAAAAGAAATAATTTTACAAAATATAGTTCATAAATGAAAACTTTCATGCACCAGGGAATCCCTTACATGTTTTCCACTATCCATATACTAGTGGCAGTTTGGTTGAAACAGATAACCCTAAGATCCCAGTGTCAGATACTTTAGGTGAGGGGAGATGTGGAAAAGTTGGCAGGAAAGAAGTGAACTGTGTCTGAAGTCTGCACAAAGAACTTACCGGCTTTACCTCACTCCCAGGCTTCATTTGGTAAAGATGATATGTTTGAAATAAAGTCAGTCTCAATTATCTGAGGACCCCTACAATCTCCCATCTGTTGGTCTACTTACAGATTTCACATCCCAAGGAAAAGCCATCCTCCTGGCTTAGTCCTTAGTAGCCATTTCACCTTGAGAGAAACCTAGCCTCAGAACCTCTTGCCTTAGAGAATTAAAGAAGAAGAATAGAGGAGAGAATGCCTGCCTGGGAAACTGAACAAAGACCTATATAATAGCTAAAAGAGCTCATAGAAGATCATATCATAAGTAAAATTCTCAAAGGGGTGAAATATAAAAGTGAGAAAATCTCTTCAAAAATAGAACATAAAGAGACGGGAAAATATTTTTTAAAATTCAAGATTGTCCCAAAAGTTTCAACATCCAAAGCAGGTATTCTGTAAAGACAATAGAGAAGGCAAAAAAGAAAGAACCAAAGGACTAGTATAGGAATAAATTTCAGAACTGAAAGATGTGAGTTTTCATACTAAAAGGGACTACCATGTACATAAATATATACACCAAGGCACATGACCTTGACATTTTAAAACTGATTTGAAAAGAGATTCTAACAGCTTCCAAAAAGAAAACGTACATTCCATGTAAAGAAATGGAAAAGAGACTGGCATCAAACTTCTCAAAAGTGATAAACAGAGTTAGAAACCAAAGGAATAATACCTTAGAATTCTGAGAGAAAATTATTTCACTAAAACAAGGGAGTTTATTTAAGTTAAAAAAGAAGAAAAGAAAGAAAAATGGGATTGAGGAAATGGAGGGGGCCAACACAGGAAACGGGAAACGACTTCTCACTGTGGTGGTGGTACACAAGGCCTAGAACCCATTCAGATTGAAGCCTGCAAGGAAAAAGTCAAATTGATAGGATACCTTATGTGATTGACTACACTTAGAGGAGGTTTTCAGTCTTAGAAACTCAGAAAATGCAAAAACAAAGCAGTTATTAACTCTTCAGGAAAAGCATAAGTTTGTAATAGAAAATAAATGTAATTACAGTGTACTAGCTGGCTTAGCTGTGAATAATAATTATGTAAACAATCATGTAAACACTAAATATCGATTTAATTGAATATTGATTTAATCACTCTGACCATTATTTATGTGACATATAAACACTGAACATTAATATAGGGCTAAAACTTTTCAGAAGATAGCATGAAAAGATATGTATGGGTAGGAGGGTTTTGTAATGAGATAAATCCATAATTGATCTTAGTATATAGTATAAGAATAAATCCCAGAACTGAAAGATATGAGATTGTAATTGATCTTAGAAGGAAATCAATAGATAATTTCTGGAATATAAAATGATATGGTAGTATAAAGCATGTTATTAGGAAATAAGGATATTGATCCTAGAATAAATGGCTAAAGGAGTTGAAAATGGTAGCCTTTAGAAATTGGGGATCTGGAGATCCCTGGAGAGGGAACTGCTGACTTTTCTTATAAGCTTCATGAAACTATTTGACTTTTAAAACATATACATTATTTTTATTAAATCAGAATTTATATTGTCCTTCAGCTCAAAAAAGTAAGAAAAAAAGTACATTTGGCAAATATTGACTAAAGAAAAGCTAGTGTTAATATAGACAAAATAGAATTCCAGGACAAAAAAAAAATTAAAGGTAGATACAACAGTTTTATCTGTAATAAAAGGGTCAAATATACCAGGAAAGATAAAATTGTGAGCTTATATGTATATTCTCAAACATATTCAGGAAAATTACAGGAACGTATAGGTAAATTCAACAATACATTTCAGAAATGTGAAAGATCAGAAAGTAAAGAGAGAAAGTAGGGCCAGGCACGGTGGCTCACACCTGTAATCCCAGCACTTTGGGAGGCCAAGGCGGGTGGACCACGAGGTCAGGAGATCGAGACCATCCTGGCTAACATGGGGAAACCCCGTCTCTACTAAAAATACAAAAAAAAAATTAGCCGAGTGTGGTGGCAGGCACCTGTAGTCCCAGCTACTGAGGAGGCTGATGCAGGAGAATGGGGTGAACCTGGGAGGTGGAGCTTGCAGTGAGCTGAGATCACGACACTGCACTCCAGCCTGGGCAACAGAGCGAGACTCTCTCTCAAAAAAAAAAAAAAAAAAAAGAGAGAAAGTATTTGAATAATGAAGTTTGACTTATAATAGATGATTTTCCATTTTTAAAAGAACACAGAAAATTTGATGAATTTGTTGGTTTCAAAGAATTGATGTGCAGACAGACCAGCTTCACTGACCACACTGTAGCTAAATTAGAACTCAACAATAAAAATATGGAATAATGAAATAAAAGAAAAATCTGTCTATAACAGATTGAGTGGTATTCTCCCAAAATTCACGTCCACCTGGAACTTCAGAATGTGACCTTATTTAGAAATAGAGTCTTTGCAGATGTCATTAAAGATCTCAAGATTAAATCATCTGGATTTAAGATGAGTCCTAAATCTAGTGACTATTTTCCTTATAAAAAGAGGAGAGAGGACTATTGAGGACAGAGGCAGAAATTGAAGTTCGGCTGTCACAAGCCAGAGAATGCCATGGGCCATTACAAGCTGGGAGAGACAAGGAAGAATTCCCACTTGGAGCCTTCTCAAGGAGCATGGCCCAGCTGACACTGTGATTACAGACTTTAACTTCCAGATCTGTCAGAGATTAAATTTCTTTGGTCTAACCTGCTCAGTAGTAATTTGTTATGGCAGCCCTAGGAAACTAATACACCATTCATCTATTTGAAAATTATATAATGTAATTCTAAATAACTCAGAAGTTAAAGAGATAAATCATAATGGAGATTACAATATATTTAGAACTGAGGGATAACAAAATTTTAATATCAAAATTTTTTAGAAGAGAGCCAAAGTGATATTTAGGGGTAAAGTTACACACTTAAATATACATATTTAAAAATAAGAAAAATCCAATCAAAATCCCTGCAGGTTTTTTTTTTTTTCTCAGAAACCAGCAAGCTTATTCTAAAATTGATAAGGAAATACAGAATGCCAAGAATGGCCAAGGGAATCTTGAAGAACAAATCTAAAGGATTTACACTACCAGGTATCAAAACTTATTATAAAGCTAAAGCTGTAGTAATTATAAAGCTGAAGCTTAAGTAATTAAGACAGTGTGATATTGGCACAAGGATGAACAAACTGACCATAGAACAAAATATTCCCGGAACAAATTTACCTGTATATGAATACCTGATTTATGTTAAAGGTACTAAATATAGTGGGGTGAGAATTATTTTTGGGGTAAAATGGTGCAAAATAAGTTAGATATTCATATTGGAAAAAAAAGAGCATTGACTTCCTTGCTCACATTATAAATAAAAATGATTTCAAAATGGATTGTAGGTCTAAATATAAAAGGGCATAGATAGATGAATGATTGATAGATCTACAAGAAAATGGAGGAGTATTAATCCGGGGATAGGAAAAGATTCATTAAACTGGATCCCACGCCCCACTCCCCACCAAAAAAAACCCATACAAGAAAATACTGACAAATATGGCACATTAAAATCAGAAATTCTTTTTTTTTTTTCCTTTTTTTGAGATGGAGTCTTGATCTGCCGCCCAGGCTGGAGTGCAGTGGTATGATCTTTGCTCACTGCAAGCCCTGCCTCCTGGGTTCATGCCATTCTCCTGCCTCAGCCTCCCGAGTAGCTGGGACTACAGGTGCCTGCCACCATGCCCAGCTAATTTTGTTTTTTTCTTTTTGTATTTTTAGTAGAGACGGAGTTTCACCATGTTAGCCAGGATGGTCTCAATCTCCTGACCTCGTGATCCGCCGGGCTCGGCCTCTCAGAGTGCTGGGATTACAGGAAAATGAGAAGGTCTAAGAGTCTCTCTGAACCTATTCTGGTTCGGGAGACTGCCTAATAATTAAAAATGTATAAAATAAAATTTAAAAAATATTTATAAACAACAAATAAGAGAGTAAAATGCAAGCCACAGGGTGAGGAAGGTATTTGTGATACTTGTGTCCCACAAAAGACATATCTGGCTGGGCACAGTGGCTCATGCCTGTAATTCCAACACTTTGGGAGGAAGAGGCGAGTGGATCACAAGGTCAGGAGATCGAGACCATCCTGGCTAACATGGTGAAACCCCGTCTCTACTAAAAATACAAAAATACAAAAAAAAAAAAAAAAATTAGCCAGGCATGGCAGCAGCCACCTGTAGTCCCAGCTACTCGGGAGGCTGAGGCAGGAGAATGGTGTGAACCCAGGAGGCAGAGCTTGCAGTGAGCCAAGATCGCGCCACTGTACTCCAGCCTGAGTGACAGAGCGAGACTCCAACTCAAAAAGGCTTATACCCAGAATATAAAAAGAATGCCTACAAATCAATATGAAAAAGGAATTCAGCCCAATAGAAAAATGGGCAAAAGACTTTGATAGATACTTTACAAAAGAGAATATCTAACAGCCAGTTAACATGTGCAAAATATTTCACTTCATTAATCAACAGGGAAATGTAAATTAAAATCACAGTAAGATAGCTCCATGTACCTACTAAGACGTCTGGCTGAAATGAAAAAGACAATACCGTATTGGTAAGAATGCAGTAGAACAAGCAGAACTAATTCACTGCTGTGAGAGTGTGGATTGGTATAATGACTTTGAAAAGCAGTTTGACATTATCTACTAAGTTCCACAAAAGCAGAACCTATGACATAGCTGTTCTGTTCCTAACTCTATACTCAACAGATAGGGATGCATACAAGCACCAAGAGAAATATACACAAATATTCTTCACAGCAGTGTTTGTAATAGCTCCAAACTGGAAACTACCCAAATGCCAAGTATTTATCCAGTAGAATGGATAAATTGTGGCATACTAATGTTATTGAATACTGATTAGCAAGTGAGATAAGTGAAGGTAAATATATGTGACACCACTTAATGAATCTTGCAAACAACTTGAGAGAAGAAAGCAAGTCACAAAAGAGTATGTGCTATATTATTCCATTTATAAAAAGTTGAAGAATATTCAAAACCAATTTGTTATATTTAAAATCAGGTGTTACCCTCAGCATGGGGGAGATGGAAGGAAGAATGAGGGGAGCATGTAAGTTTCTAGCCAGATTTTATTTCCTAACCTGGATAAGGTTATATACACTTGGTTTTTGTAATTCATTGAGCTCTATATGTGCACATTTTCCCCCATATTTTCCACTGTACAATTAAAAAGATCTTTTAAAAAGCAATATGGTACTTAGAAATGAATCTAAAAGGGCATGTAGAACTATTTTAAGAGAAAATTATAAAACTACATTGAAATATATTAAGACCTAAATAGTTGGAAAATTATACAATTATGATAATAAAGATGTCACCAAATTAATTTCTAAATTAAATGCATTGCTACTCAGAATTCCGGTAGGATTTTTTTGTGGAACTTGACAGGCTGATTCTAAAATATTTATGGAAAATCAAAAAAAGTATATTTAAAGAATAAGATAAGGGATCTTGCCATACCACACATCAAGACTTATTACATGTGTAGCTTGTTTAAGACATCATTTGCAAAGGAATAAACAAAGAAAAATGAAACAGAGTGGTGACCCAGAAACATACCCATGAATGTGGAAACTTAACATACACAGAGATAGCATAACAATCTGTGGAGAAAGGATGAAGAGGAACTATTCAATAAACCAGTGAATATATATCTGGAAAAAATAAAATCAGATAAATCACTGCTGCACACTAAACAGAAATGTATAGTATGCCAGGCATATTAAAAGTAAATGGGATAACTACATTTTTAGAATTTAGATGGTCTGTCCTTATGACCATGTGATAATGGAAGATTTCTTAAACAGGACACACGAAGCACCTACCCTAAAGGAAAAATATAATAAATATGCCATTATTAAAATGAAAACTTTTTTGCATAAATGATATCAAACAATGAAAAGACATGAAACAGCCTGGGAGAAGATATTTATAATGCATGCTACCTGCAAAGACATTTCACAGGAATGTTCATTGCAGTGCTTTTCAAATAGGAAATAGCCTTAAGTTGATCAACAGAAGCATATTCATATATATTAATGCAATAGAATAATACATAACATTGAGAATCAGAGACATACATTAATTGACTAAATCTCAAAATCATAATATTAAGTGAAAAAGGCATGGTGCGTAAAGGTACAGACAGTATTGTACCCTTCATATAAGGTTTAAAGACTTGTAAAACAATGCTGTACATTGTTTATTAATATATGCAACGTAGTAAAGAATTACAAAACATCCTTGATATTGATAAACTCTAAATTTGGTATAAAGGCTGCTACTGAGAAGTGGGAATGGCATCACTGGGAACAGCTTACACAAGGAACATTATATTCGTAATATTTCTTAAGCCCTATGGTAAATGCTTCGGTGTTCATTTTGTGGCCTATACTTTTGGTATGCCTGAAATATTTTATTAACATTAAAACTTTTTTTTTAACATTAAAACATTTTTTAATGATCTAAAAATTTCAGAAGACATTTAGATAAAAGAGATTAGGAGGATCAAAGTAATAGAAGTAAGAAAAATGTGTGAATTTAAAAGAGGTAGCAAGAGTTAACTAGTTATTTGCATTTTTAGCAATCTCTATTCCCTTTCTGATTTCTTTGTTGAAAAATATACTTACAGATAAAAATCAAAAATGATCAAGAAAAACAGAAAGGAAAAGAGAAATAGTATTAGATAAGTTTAAAAGGCTATAACTGCATGAAATTTTTAAAAAATTATATGAGAATGCTGTATATAAAATCTAGATGATAAAAGTGTTTTTCTTGGATTATATGAAATATAAAAATTGACTCCGTAAGTGGTAAACACTTTGAATAGGGCAAATAACTTGAAAGCATTGTCCACATCTTTTTTCCTTTGAAAAAACATACCTGATCTTTCCTTTTTTTGCTTTTTTTAATGTTGCATCAAACCATCAAGGAACAGATTTTATTTAGAATGTTTTTTATTTTATTTTATTTTATTGAGACAGTCTCACTCTGTCGCCCAGGTTGGAGTGCAGTGACACGATCTCGGCTCACTGCAACCTCCGTTTCCTGGGTTCAAGTGATTCTCCGCATCAGCCTCCTGAGTAGCTGGGACTACAGGTGTGCACCACGACGCCTGCTAGTTTTTGTATTTTTAGTAGAGTTGGGGTTTCACCATGTTGGCCAGGGTGGTTTCGAACTCCTGACCTCAAGCGTTCCACCCACCTCAGCCTCCCAAAGTGCTGGGATTACAGGTGTGAGCCACCGCGCCCGGCTGTAGAATGTTATTTTATTTAAACTGTTGTTTTACACAGTAAAATACGAAAAAATTTTCAATTCATGTCACAGTTTTTACACAGATGGAGCCTAAGAGGTACTTTTTTCTTAATATATACATGAATTTGGGGGTTTGTTTGTAATTTGGGGGGAGGATTACCTGTCTATTGTGTTTATTATCTTTCCTTTTCTGAAATCAAATGATGTCATTATTCCAGATGCCTCAGTTCAAGTGCTAATCACTGGGGATGAGAACCTGTCAGACAAAAAACAGAAAGAAATCCACAGTACAAGGGCAGTGACTGAGGCTGCCCAGGCTAAAGAAAAAGAATCTTTGCAGAAAGATACTGCAGGTAGCTAAACTGGATTTTCTGCATATAATTTTCTTCTGGTCTTCTAAAATGAGACTGTTCTCTTAAGAACAGAAACAGAAATATATTCTCTATTTTCTTCTTGCTGTCTTCAACTCTCTTCTATCTTGCGTATATATGAAATAGTTAAAGTATGTTTAGCTGTATTTATTATATACTTTGGCAGGTAAAATGGACATATTTAAAGTTCTTTGAGATATTTCTGGAGATCTTTTGGATATAGTAAACAAATTAATCTAATTTCCAGAAATTCATTTAATGGACTTTTTGCCTGTGATGGTAAAAATCTCTCAATTCTGTGAGACACGGACCCACTAATACCATTTTTGTACATGATCCTTTATTTAGGAATTCAGCTTGTTTACTTCCTCCCTATCAGTTACTTTACTTCAGAGGGATTATGCTGATTTAAATAACCCTCATAGTGTATTTACATTACGATTAGTTTTGGCTCTGAGAGAGGAAAACAAAAGCAAAATAACATAGGCTTAAAGAAAACAGAAAACTTTCTCTCTCTTGTGAAAATCCAGAGGTAAGCATCCAGAGTTGACCTGGTACTCCAGAGTATCGGAACAAAGCTGTTGCTCTCTTGTTACTCTGACATTTTTGGCCTTCATTCTTAAGCTGTAGCCATCAGCCCATATTGCAACCAGCAGGAAGAAAGGAAAAGAAAAATCTCATTCCTTCCTTTAAGGATACTTCTCAGAAGCTATATGTACCATTGTTTTTGCATTCTATTGGCCAGACTTAGACACATGGTCACATGTACCAGGGAAGCTGGGAAATTGAGTTGTTATTCTAATAACAATGTGCCCAGCTAAAGTTAGGGTTCTGTTTAGAGGAAAAGGAAAATGCATATTAGAGGACAGATAGTATTAATAGTTTCCGCCACAGTTGTAAACTAAAACATTTTAGAACATAATTAGCTGCTTCTCTTCTTTAGGTGTTGCTTGTTTAAAAAGGTTAGATTGTATTCTGGGCATCACTTCTGAATTTTACCCCATTTTACTATTACTAAATGAATGTTCCAAAAACAATTTTGATCATGTTAATCTTGTAATCAAAAACTTTAGTTTTCATTGCCCGTAAGGATAAAATCTAAACTCTTTTAGCACTGTCTTCCAGAGCTGTAGAATCCACTCCCAAACAACTTTCTAACACTAGTTCTCACCTCTTTTCCTTATAAATTATATAATCTAATGCTATATACTTGCTCTGTTTCTTAGATGTTAAGTTACTTTCCTGACACCATTCTTCTGTTATATAGTCACCTCCTTTTTTTCCATCTCAATGTGTATCCCATCTTAGCTCTCTTCTAATGCCAAAATCAATTGTCTAGAGTTCTGTAGTACTCCCACCTGCAATTAGTTTTTCTTTCTTTGAATACCGATACCTCTTTTTCTGACTCTTTCTTATGGTGTATCTGTTTACGTATGTGATTTTTTGCCCCAATTTTCAATTATTTTCTAAACGCATTTCTGAGTCATCTTTTTTATTCAATATCACTAAGAAAGCCTTTCACATAATACATACTTGAGAGACATTTAAAAATATTTTATGTCCAGTTCCTGTCTGTATAGTGTGTTAATGTCCCTTTCGTAGATTCCAGTGCTGCTGCTGCTGCAGAGCACTCAGCTCAAGTAGGAGACCCAGAAATTAAGAACTCGCCAGACACTAAAGCCATTACACAGAAAGAGGAGATCCATAGGAAGAGGACAGTTCCCGAGGAAGCCTGGACAAGCAATAAAGAATCCCTACAGATCAATATTGAAGGTAATGGGATTGGGTTGTGTGTGAGTGTGTGTGTATATGGGGGTCAGTGTTAGTGTGTTTCCATTTCGTTCTGATGAGAATATAGCCTCATGATTAAACAAAAATTCCTTTTCTTTTTTTAAAACTTTCTTGTGTAAAGTACTTTGATGCTACTATTAGGTTGCTGTATATATAGATTTGTAAAGTAATTGTTACTTTTTGGAAAAGATATTAGCAACTTAGAAACAGGATTATAAATAAATACCTAAGGCTGATAGTTTTAGAAGTGAAGCATCTTGTCTCAGTCCCCAAACAGAGACAACCTTAAAGCCATTCCAGAAGGCTATAGCAAAGACAGTGAGACCATCAATACAAACTTTTTTTTTTTTTTGAGACGGAGTCTCGCTCTGTCGCCCAGGCTGGAGTGCAGTGGCGTGATCTCCGCTCACTGCAAGCCCCGCTGCCTCCCGGGTTAATGCCATTCTCCTGCCTCAGCCTCCCTAGAAGCTGGGACTACAGGCGCCCGCCACCACGCCCAGCTAATTTTTTTGTATTTTCAGTAAAGATGGGGTTTCACCATGTTCACCAGGATGGTCTCGATCTCCTGACCTCATGATCCGCCCACCTCGGCCTCCCAGAGTGCTGGGATTACAGGCATGAGCCACCGCGCCCGGCCCAAACTTTTTAAAAATTACAATAAAATCACATTTATTTATGTTTGTCCATGGGCCCCTTTTTCTGACATAAAAGCATGTAGAACACAAGACATTACTACCTAGCTGTCAAGCCTTACCTCTTAGAGGAATATGGAACAGCCTAGGTAAGGAGAGAAAAGAATCAAGGAACTAATCTAACCATTCTGGATTTTGGAAATAGTCCGGATTCAACTGCTTACATCAAGAATATAGAAAATAAATGGTTTTTTGACAATAGCCAAGACTACACAATGGGAAAAGGATAGTCTCTTCAACAAATGGTGTTGGGAAAACTGGATATCCACAATTAAGAGAATAAAGGTAGACCCTTTCTTTATACCATATACAAAAGTTAACTCAAAAAGCGTTGGCAACATACATGTAAGACCTTAAAACTCCCAGAAGAAAACATAAGGAGAAACCTTCAGGACATTGAACTTGGCAGTGATTTCTCAGATATGACACCAAAAACACAGACAACAAAATCAAAAATAGACCAATGAAACTACATCAAACTTGAAAACTTCTGCATGCCAAAGTAAACAATTAAGAGTGTGAATAGGCATTTTACAGAATGGGAGAAAATATTTGCAAATCATAGATCTGATAAGGGATTAGTATTCAGAATATATAAAGAACTTATACAACTCAACAGCCAAAAAAAACCCAAACAACTTATTTTTAAAAACACATAACATTTTAAAATGAGCAAAGGACTTGAATAGACAGTAGAAGATACACAAATGCCATACCAAACATATAAAAAGATGTCCACTCTCTGTAATCATAAGAGAGATGCAAATCAAAACCACAGTGAGTTATCGCTCACTCCTGTTAGGATGACCACTATCAAAAAAACAGAAAATAGCAAATGTTCGTAAGGATGCAAGGAAATTGGAACCCATGTTCACTGTTGGTAGGAATGTAAAATGGTATCGCTATTATGGAAAATAGTATGGAGGTTCCTCAGAATAATAAAAAAGAATTAGTATATGATCCAGCAATCCCACTGCCACTGCTGGACATATAACACCTAAAGAATTCAAAACAGGATTTCAAAAAGATACCTGTATACCTGTGTTTATTGCAGCATTATTTATAATAGTTAAAAGGTGGAAGCAGCCCACATGTCCATCAACAGATGAATGTATTAACAAAATGGGAATTATTTGTCAATAAAGAAAATACGTTACATACATACAGTAGTGTATTGCGTAGCCTTAAGAAAGAAGGAAATCCTATCACATAATACAAGGTAGGTGAACCTCAAGAACATCATACTAAGCAAAATAAATCAGTCACAAAAAGATAAATACTATATGGTTTGTTGCAAATGTTGTGGGATTTTAGGAGGATGAGAGAGACCTTGGGTTTAAATAGGAGAATCTTTTATTGAGTGCACTCAGGCCCAACAGACTCACGTCCAAAGACGGGGCCCAGAACAAAGACAGCACTTGGCTTTTATACATACCTCACAAAAGGGGGTGGGCTAGCTTGAAGCAAGCTTACGGTGGCATGAAAGCAGGGATACAGAGGCAGGACAAAGACAGTTAATCAAATTGTAACAGGTTCAAAACTCAGAATTGCACATAACTATTGCTATGCAGCCTAGATGTCCATTATCTAGGTTTGCCTAGGCACGGGCTTATCCCATAACCTTCACTGTGGTGCCCATGGAGCTGTAGTTCAGGCCTACTCAGGCTTCTCATGACCTTTATTGTACTTCTTAGATAAAACAGAATACTTGAAGTCACTAGTTAGAGAGAACAGGAATCTATAAACTCATTCCATAAAACAAAGGAAAATTTGTTTTTTTCTTCTCCCTGTGTTGAGGGAGTGCTGCGAGAGTCTCCAGAGCACATTAGATAATATTATCAAGACTTTTCCTGGGTCTGGGCTGTGCCTGTTGCTGCCTCCGGGACAAGTCAGCCTAATGCAGGAAAACTTATTTCTCTTTCTTCTTAATTTTATTTTTCTTTAATTTCCTGCCTCAATATGAAATATCTAAAGTAGCTGAAATCGTAGAAACAGAAAGTAGAACAGTGATTACCAAGGCCTGTGAGAGGGTGGACAGAGAATTAGTATTTAGTAGGTACAGAGTTTCAGTGTTAAAAGATGAAAGAGAGGGCCGGGCGCGGTGGCTCAAGGCTGTAATCCCAGCACTTTGGGAGGCCGAGACGGGCGGATCACGAGGTCAGGAGATGGAGACCATCCTGGCTAACACGGTGAAACCCCGACTCTACTAAGAAATACAAAAAACTAGCCGGGCGAGGTGGCGGGCGCCTGTAGTCCCAGCTACTCAGGAGGCTGAGGCAGGAGAATGGCGTAAACCCGGGAGGCGGAGCTTGCAGTGAGCCGAGATCGCGCCACTGCACTCCAGCCTGGGTGACAGAGCCAGACTCCGTCTCAAAAAAAAAAAAAAAAGATGAAAGAGAGATTGTTGCACAACAATGTGAGTATACTTATCACTACTGAACTGTACACTTAAAAATGGCTAAGATGGTTAATTTAATGTCATACTTTTTGTCACACACACAAAAACAATACATAAGATGTAGAAATAGAACACTGCAACTTTGCAGGGGTTAGTGTGGGAGACATAGCTTGCAAAAGAAAGATGGAAATATAATCTGTAAAAGCATACTCTAGAAGATAAGAAATTTTTTTCTAAATGTTTTACACTCTGAATAACTTTAGAAGACATGAAGTATATGAAATAAAAATTGATAGAATATGAAATGAAAAGGGAGATTTAGGGGATAGGAGAACAAAATGAAATTTTTAAAAAAAAGTACCAATTAGGAGAAAGACATGACAGCGATTAGAAAAAAAATGGTGGAATTTGAGGACTGACAGTGAAAATCCAACACAATGATATCTGTTGTTGCCTCTAAAGAAGATAATAGAAAAATAAAGATATAAGGAAGAATGGAACTTACAATTGTATATATGTATGTATGTATTTTTAGACATGGAGTCTCATTCTGTTGCCCAGGCTAGAGTGCAGTGGTGTGATTGTAGCTAACTGTAGCCTCAAACTCCTGGGCTCAAGTGATCTCCCACCTCAGCCGTTAGAGTAGCTGGGACTGTAGGCACATGCTACCACACCTGGCTTGAACCTGCAATTTAAAAGGGTGTACCAAGTCCTAGGAAAATTTTGTATATAGTGTTCAATACTGAGATGTATGTTTGCAATAGTACTGAACTTTAAAGTAAAAGAATGAATCATGCAGGCCTCCATTCAGAAAAAACAAGTAGAAAAAGCTAAAAGACGGGGGGACAGGCAGAGGATAGGGAGGTTAAAGGAGGTATAAATGAGCAAACTTTACCTTTAAAGTTGTAAAATCAAAAAATACATGTGTAAGTAAGTATAGTGTTGAAAATTATAGGCCAGACTCGGTGGCTCACACCTGTAATTCTAGCACTTTGGGAGGCTGAGGTGGGTGGATCACCTGAGGTCAGGAGTTTGAGACCAGCCTGACCAACATGGAGGAACCCTATCTCTATTAAAAATACAAAATTAGCCAGGCATGGTGGTGCATGCCTGTAATCCCAGCTACTCGGAAGGCTGAGGCAGGAGAAGCGCTTGAACCCGGGAGACAGAGGTTGTGGGGAGCCGAGATCATGCCATTGCACTCCAACCTGGGCAATGAGAGTGAAAATCCATCTCCAAAAAAAAAAAAAAAAAAAATTATAAAATTTACCCCTAAAAGAGTTAAAATTAAACTATAAAACATCCAAAATATTTAGAAAAACAGGAGTGGTAAGCATGGAGGTAAAGAGAGGGAGAAAGAAAACAGTAAATTTGTAACAAAAACAAAAAATTGCCATAAAATGAAAGACGGCAAAGCGTGCAAGTCTATATATAAGTAAAGTAAATTCACCTATATTAAAAAAAAACTTACTGGATTATATTAAAAAACAAACTCAGTTCCATGCTATATAACAAATGTATCAAAAGTAAAATGACTGAGAAAGGTGGAAAGCAAAAAGAAAACTTAGAGATGTGTCAAAAAGAAATTTGGGGACATTAATATAGATGAGGTTAAATTCACCAAAAGTTTTGCAGGAATTGAAGAGATATATTTTCATACTGATTTGCAATCCACAATGAGAATATTTTGCATAAATCTTTAAACATCAAATAACTTAGCATAAAAAATTCATAAAATGAAAACCAGGAGCTCAATCAATAAGGAAATTTATGTTGCCTTAAAAAAGAATGAAGGAGGGCCAGGCGCAGTGGCTCGTGCCTGTAATCCCAACACTTTGGGAGGCTGAGGCAGGCGGATCAAGAGGTCAGGAGATCGAGACCATCCTGGCTAA